ACTTTTTAATCCAGAAATAATTTTAATTTTGATTTATCTCATAAGTTTCTCTTTTTTGTCGACTTTTGACATTTTGTTTTTAGTATTATTAATTCCGTTTAGTGTTTATTTCCAGAATGTCTTAGTTTAGTTGTGATTCGTTTGTTTCAGTGTCAGTTTTAGTCTTTATAACTATAGTTGTATGGAGGGCATATGCTGGAGGCAACATTTAGTATGAGTATTACAAAATAATAGAAAGTCTGAGAGCAGTTGACCCACAGTACAGCGCCAAAGCGTCATCAGGCAAGTTATGATGACAAACTTTATAAACAAGTACTCAAACTAAAGATATTTTCTCTATAGTTTTATTCTGCTTTAGGGTTCCAAGTTCTAAAAAAAAAAGTTTCTATTATTTGTATGTATTTTTTAATGTTTGGGTGCTAAAATGTTTGGTCACGTTTAGTTTTAGTTAATTCATATACATACACACATACATACATATTCACACTTTTACAACCAATGCCAGGAGCTTGGAACTCCTTGGAGTGGAGCCACATGATTGTTTTCTGTGAACCTACAGTAAAAAGTCACAACAGACCATGCATTCAAAAAGTACATGTTAGGTTTTTGTATGAACGACTTTTTTTGTCCTGGCTGTGTGATGTTGTTACCAGCATCATGTGAAGCGAAATACCATGGCGGATAAAGGAATCACAAATTAATCTAACATGCATTTCTTTGGTCTGTGGGAGGAACCTGGAGTACCCGGAGAGAACCCATGCAAACACGGCATGGGAAGATCATGGGAATAGACAAACCCAAGCCAGATGGTGGATTTAAACCAAGGACCTTCCCAATTCATTATTTGGGATGAAATATCCCTGTAATCTAAGACAGACTGACAGGCATTGATTCCTTTTATGAAACCTAGTTTAATTCTTTTATTTTGAGCCAGATATTAAACACGAATCTTAAATAAATTTGTGATATCAAACCACGTTTCTATGTACTTGAAAGACTCTCCATAAATAAAATGGGTGTTAATTAAAGTTTCCATTGCAGGCTTTTCAGGGTCACAGAGGTGAAGGCTGCCATGTACCTTTTCTTTTTCTGCATTTAAAGTTTATTGTTAAGTAGTATTAATAGGAATATAAAAAATATCTTTGATGCGGCCATGCAGGAGTTTTTCACATATAGACACTTGACATACCTGCTACCTTTATCATTGTGTAAATCCTCCTTGCTGTGTTTATGATCCAGACATGCAGTTTGCATTTTCTACCTGGTTCTGCGTGCACTGGACACAGTGGAGGATGACATGACCATTCCTCTGGACAAGAAGGTTCCCATGCTCAATGACTTCCACACCTTCCTGTACCAGGATGAGTGGTGCTTCACGGAGAGCCAGGAGAAAGATCGTCAGGTCCTGGAAGACTTCCCAACGGTCAGTGGGTTCTCAAGGGTTATTTAGCAGGTTTGGGCAAATTAAGTCAGTGACTAATTGGTAACTATAACCTTTGTCCTCTAAAACCAGATATCGCTGGAATTCAGAAACCTCGCTCAGGAATACAGAGACGTCATCTCGGATATCTGCCACCGTATGGGAGTGGGAATGGCTGAATTCCTGGAGAAGAAAGTGGGATCTATGAAGGAGTGGGACCAGGTAAATGTTATGCTTCTGTTAGTTGTTCTAGCACCATAATGACTACATAAATGACTGCTTGGAGTTGGGGGGAGTAAGTTCTAAAATTACTGGAGTAACGACCCAAAAGAATTATTACAGGGCAAAATAAAAGCCTTTTATTTTGAAAAAAATGTCATTACTCTGATTAAAAACGGAATGGATGTTATCAGAGGTGTGAAAGCTACAAACTAGCTGTTGACTCACTGGTACAGCTCAGAAGCAGATAGTAAGCTTAAAATTTTATTGAATTAGCTACAGTAGCGTTCAGATTTGCAGCTCCTTACTTCTTAAATCAGCTGCAGAATCAACCAGAACTTAAGGAAGGTGATTTTAAATGTTTCCTTTATTTATGGCAGTAGACAATTTTGCTTTGACTAATTTATTCATTATTTATTGAGACAGCGGTTTTATATATTTCTTTTTTATTGCCTTTACTTAATTACTTTATGGAAGTGTGCGTGCGTGTTCGTGTTACTGTTTTATAAAACTCCTCTGATTGTACTGCTGTCTTTCTTGGCCAGGACACTCTTGTAGAAGAGATTTTTAATCTAAAGAATCTTGTCATGTAGCTATATGATTCAGCTCTGAATATTACATAATATGAATGTTTCATCATAAGCCAGGATTTTGTTTCTCTTAAGTCCTGCGCTGTGATTTGTTTTTCTGTTTTTGTGCAGTATTGTCACTATGTTGCCGGTCTAGTCGGCATTGGCCTGTCCCGGCTGTTCTCTGCGTCTCAGCTGGAGGACCCTGAAGTTGGGCGGGACACTGAACTTGCGAACTCCATGGGCCTGTTTCTCCAAAAGACTAACATCATCCGAGACTATCTAGAGGACACACAAGAGGGACGTGCCTTCTGGCCACAAGAGGTAGAAACAAAATCTCTTGTCTAATACCAGTGTGCCTGACCAGGGTCCGGTACTACGAAGCAAGTTTAGAATACCCAAGATATCTTTCACTTATCTGGGTTTGCTTACCCGAATCAGGCCGAGCAGTCGC